TATCAAAAACTTGTTATAATTAAGTGTATTTATGTTTATAAGATTTTAAAATTATCATTGAGTATAATTTTACTCTATTTAAAATCACATATCAATAAAATGTATGAAGAGAAAAGGTTACTAATCCTATGTTACAAAATATATATATATATATATATATATATATATATATATTTTATTTTTTTATTTTCACTTTTCCTACATATAATGTACTCCTACGTACTATAGCATACACATATACATACATATTTTTTTAGTTATTAAAAAAAATAATTATTTCATTAAAGTATCTAAAAATACTATTTTTATATTTCTCATTATACATGAAAGTGTTAAAAAATAATATTTTTATATTTTAATTTTATTAAATTATTATGTATTTATTACATATATATATATATATATATATTAGTTATTGAAAAAATTGACTATTTCATTAGACATGAAAGTGTCCAAAAATAATATTTTTATATTTTAATTTTATTAAATTATTATGTATATATATATATATATATATATATATATATATATTCATTTATGTTCAATGCATTTTTTTAACCAAAACAAATAACAGTAATGGTCAAAAATTGTCATGCGTTAGAATTATTCCTTAACTTGTATAGTTATTATTTAATAAAAAATAAATTATTAATATAACTATCGTAAACATACACTAATAATATAATATGATACATTATAATGCAGATGCGTGTGTTAATATGTTTATATTGATCAAATTATTTATTAATATAAATTTACAAAAGTTGAATCAAGCAAAAATTATTTATAAAGATTGTTTTTTTATACGAAAGTAAAAATAAAAATTATATAAAAATTGATATATAGTTTTTTTTATTTATAGAGATTAAATTATAAAAAAAGAATCTTATATAGAAACTAAAAACTAAAATAAACTTGTCATAATTATTTGTGACTGTAACAATAGGGATGATATTGAAAATAATTTTTTTTATAAAAATTAATATATAATTTATTTATTTTTATCTATAAAGATTAAATATATATAATTTAACTTTTATTTAAATAAGTTAAATTTAGAGATTAATTAATAATTTTAAAGTTTAAATGTCACTCTAAAATTATTTCTAATATATTTTAATTTTAAAATTTTAAATTATGTTATTTTATAAAATTTTTATGTTATATTAATTATTTAACATGACAAAGAATAAACTTCGAATATTATATTTTTAAAAGTCTTTGAAAATATTTTCATTTAAAAATATGTTTTAAAGAATAGTTAAAATTTAATTAACATAATGTATTAAAAGTTAAGAATTTATATTATTTAATAATTTTTTATAAAATGTGAGATTGATCAATTTAATTTAATTTTTAGCAAAAAAATTTTATTAAGTAGATTAATTTTTTAAATTTTATATAAAAATAAAACTAATGGGTATTTTATTACATTATTTTATTTTAACAAATATTATATTTTGAAATTATAAATAAATATCCACTTTGAATAATATATGTGAATGTTCATATAATATAAAATATTTAAATTAAATTTTAACACTTATATTATTTAATAATTTTTTATACAATATAAAATTGATAAAAAAATTGTTAATTTAAATATTTTTATAAAGTTGATAAAGTTTAGAAATAATCATATAAAAATTCATTTTATTTTAAAATATAACTAAATATTAATTATTTGATAATATATCATTAAATGTTTAAATTAAGTAAAAATTAAAATTTTTCTATATATTTTATATGTATTATTAAATAAAATTATTTTAAATAATTAATTAAAAAAATACATTATATGATTATTTTTAAATTTAAAAATTACCAATATAAAAAATTTAGAAAATTCTATATTCTTCAATAAAAGTACTTGAGGTATGATATTTTTTAATTTTTTAATTTTTTTTATAGAAGGTATAATTACTCATTTGATTTTAACTTAAATTAGTGTATGCATCAATTTGTGTTCATAAAAAAATATCTATTAGTAATTTAGAATTTACAATATTAAATTATCATCTAACATATAAATAATATAATATTTTTCTTTCTTCGCCATTGATAATTATTTTTTTTATCAATTACATATATATATATATATATATATATATTTTTTTTTCTTCATCACAATATTTGACTGATATTTAAGTTGTTTTTATATTTTATAATATTACTATATATTGAATCTTACGAATCTCATATTTGTTACTTTTGACATTATAGAAAATAATTACTTATTATAAATATTAGATAATGAAATTTATTTCGATACAAAAGTATAAAAGATACAAATTAAAAAGAAAATAAAAACATCCAATTAAGGATTGAGAAATGAATATCTTATAATAAAATATTTGTTTATTCTTTGGAATAATAAAAAAAATGTGATTATCATAAAACTCACATTTTATTCAAAGTTTATTATAATTGAATGCATTTATATTTATAAAATTTTTAAATTATTATTAAGTATAATTCTACCCTATTTAGAATCACACATTACTAAAATGTATGTGGAAAAAAAGGTTACTAATCATATGCTAGAAAAAAAAAATATTTTTACTCTTCATACGTCTAATGTATTCCTAGACGTATTCCTACAGCAGTAAGATTGTGAAAAAATGTTTAAAAAATATTCGGAGTTAATTTTTTATCTCTTCATAGTTAATCATACCTCTAAATATTATTTTGATTTTTACTAATAATCACTTTAAAATAAAGAAAATAAGATAAAGACAATTTTTATTTATGAAAATAATAGTTTTAATTAAGTTATATGGATATTACTCACATAGATATGCATATATTTTTAGTTATTAAAAAAATTGACTATCTCATTAGATATAAAAGTGTCCAAAAATATTTTTTTTATTTTTTATTAAAATATTACATATTTATATATTTATTTTATGTTCAATGCATTTTTTCAACCAAAACAAATAATAGTAATGGTCAAAAAATTGTCAAGCGTTAGAGTTATTCTTTAACTTGTATGGTCATTATTTAATAAAAAAAAATTATTAATATAACTATCGTAAATATACACTAATATAATATGATACATTATAATGCATATGCATGTGTTAATATATTTATATAGATCAAATTATCTGTTAATATGAATTTATAAAAATTGTATCAAGCAAAAGTTATTTATAAAGATTTTTTATATCAAAACAAAAATAAAAAATTTCATAATATATAATTTTTTTTACTTATAGAAATTAAATTATAAAAAAAGAGTCTTGTATAGAAACTGATATATAATTTATTTATTTTTACCATATTAAATAATCGTTTGTCAAAACATAAGAAAGAGTTAATGTTGTTATGAATTATTGTACTAATAGGGATGACATTGAAAACAATTTTTTATATAGAAACTGTATATAATTTATTTATTTTTACTTCTATGGACTAAATATATAATTTGAATTTTATTTAAATGAGTTATATTTAGATATTGATTAATAATTTTGAAATTTAAAATTTACTCTAAAGTTTTATAATTTCTTTTATAAGTTTTGAATAATTTTTTTATTAATTTATTATTTAATTTTTATGTTAAAAAGTAAAGTAAAATATAATAAAATATAATTTTATCACATAAAAATGACTTAAAAGTAATTTTTTATTATGAAAATAACATATGTTTTTAAAAATATTATTATTATTTTATTTAAAATATAACTTTAAAAATTAAAATTAAATGAATCATATAAAAAAACTCAATAATAATATAAATTTTAAGTTTTATATATATATATATATATATGTATATATAACTAGCTATAAATAGATAGACACATAGGAATTAACAAAGAGCTATTAATGTCCAGTATATTAAGTTTGAACTTAATTTATTTAAATAATCAAGCCTAACTTTAAGTTTGATATTGTTTATAAAATTAAATAAATGAGTTTCATTATATATTTAATGAGTCAAACTTAAATAACTCACAAATAATTTAATTAATTTATTAATAAATAAATAAAAAATAATAATAATACAATAAATAAATAAATATAATTTTAATTCTTATAAATATGATTAAATTGGATTGCTTAATTTTTTGTTCTAATTTTTACAAGGTTTAAAAATTTAATTTTTTTAGCAGTTACTAATCAATAACATGTCATATATTTAGATATGTCACCTTCAAGCCACATTACTATAAATTGATAATGAATTATTTTAAATATTAAAATTTTAAAAAATAATTAGTAAAAGAATAAAAAATAAAATAAAACTTAATCATATTTATAAAAATTAAAAGATATTTAAATGAAAAAGTAATAGTTTTTTTTCTAATAAAAAAGTGACAGTTTTCGACATAATCCAAATAAATTCATTGATTTTGTTAATATTAATTAAATGAAACTAATTAATATTTTTCTAAAGTTAAACATGCAGAATAATGAGTGAGTTGCTATGAAGATTAAGTGATATCACTATGATGAACATGCAGTCTATATCCCTTTTTGGTGTAGCCAAAGTGGTGGACGTATTTTCATGCTTCCCCATATCCATTATGAGCTTAAACAGGCAAGTGTTTTGAGCTGGGAATGGATCAATGATAAATGGACATGTATCTTTGCTTTAATCAATGGTTTGATAGTACATATTAAATGCCTTTATGTCAAGCCTACTATAATATAAGATGACAAACCTCCCAAATTAAGCTATATCCAATCCATTTGAGACACAAAAAAGCTTGTGGAAAAGAAGCTCTATGCGTGGCATTTCCATGAAAATAACTTTTGACACACAAAATTCAACCTGCAATGGTAGAAATGGCACCATATTTATGCATTTTTTTCATATATTTGCTTGTTTGACCGACGGTGAGCAGAAGTTAATGTCTGCAACGGCAGTTTTATTGTTAAGGAGAGTGAAATTAGTCACAAAACAAAAGAAAACATGAATGATACGGATAAGTTAATCTCTTACGGTTACTTTTATAATTTTAGTAATTTTTATTTTTATTTTTTAAATATTAAAATTTGAAAAAAATATAATTATACAAAAGTAAATATGGTTATTTTAGGAGAAAGAGTGTACAATCTACGAGTGCTGGTCTTTTTTCTCAAAAAACAAGTGCCAAGAAAGAACACATAATTTGTTACTTATTATTAGTTATACCTTTTCAAAACTTTTTTTCACTTATTCAAATAAAAAAATTATCCATATTTATTTATCTAAATAATTTGTTTACTTTATTTATACTTTCTTTTGTATCCAAATACAAATGAATTTCAAGGATAAGAGCTCAAGATATTTAAGTTGTGTGTCAGATATTGAATGCGATGAGGCAAAATTAAATTACGTGCCAAACCAAGTCTCTTTACCAAAATACTTGTAAACTTGTGCATGCGGGATGAAAGGTTTGGGCGCAAAGTGGAATTAGAACCGTTTATTTTTCTTTGGGTCAACGAATTAGAACCATCTCGCACATGCTCAAAGCGGTGGGCAAGTTGACAGATCCAACAATTGCACCAGGTTGAGTCAATTATGGAGGCTGCTTACAGATAAATGTCACGAACCAAAACCTCTATCAACAAATCACTTCACACTCTTTTTCTCCTTTAATTTTTTTTATTATTAAATAAGTTTCATTACTCAAACCCCCATTCTTTAAAAGTTAATTTGTAAGAAATTATATGAATAAATTGTAAACTCGAGTTTATTAACTATACAATTAAAAGGTGCACTAAAATGAAAGTATCCGAATCGAGTACTGAAAAGGGGTCCAGATGCCATTTATGTCTAAGCAAACTTGGTCACTTGTTTTGCATTAAAGACACCAAACATTCGCAAAACCTTATCATCATAGCATTCACAAAACCTTATCATCATAGCATTCACTCTCCCACACTTCCCAAATTCTCTTGCAACATAAAATGAAGCGCTCTGACTCTCGCTCACCCTACACTTCCACTGTCACCACCACCACTACCCTTTTCATCCTCTTCATCTTCACAACACTACACCACAACGCCAACGGTGCCACATGTCATGCGGACGATGAAGCGGGCCTATTGGGCTTCAAATCCGGCATCAAATCCGACCCATCAGGCCTGCTCAAGTCATGGATACCAGGTACATACTGTTGCAATTGGACAGGCGTAGAATGCCACTTCAACAGCACCCGGGTCATGAACCTTTATCTACAGGGTCAAACCAACAGCAAACCCGCATCCATATTATCGGGTACCATCTCACCCACCCTCTCAAAAATCCAACTCCTTACTGGACTCTACCTTTTCGACCTCAAAAACATTTCGGGTCCTTTCCCAATTTTCCTCTCCAAACTACCGAGCCTTAAATACATTTACATCGAGAACAACCAACTCTCGGGTCGAATACCCGAGTCCATCGGCAACATGACCCAATTAGACGTACTCAGTTTAGCGGGTAACCGGTTCACCGGCCCAATACCGAGTTCAATTTCCGAGTTGACTCAGTTAACTCAGCTCAAACTCGGTGACAACTTACTCAGCGGAACAATTCCTCAGTCCATAAGCAAGCTTGTTAACTTAACGTACCTGAGTCTCCAGGGGAACAATCTAGAAGGTGCCGTACCTGATTTTTTCTCGCCGTTCACGGACCTTAGAATTCTCGAACTTTCTCGGAACAAATTTTCCGGGAAAATCCCAAACTCAATTTCTACCTTGGCGCCAAAGCTGACCTACCTTGAGCTCGGGCACAACTCACTTTCCGGGAAAATTCCTGATTTTCTCGGAAAGTTCAGAGCGCTGGACACGCTGGACCTCTCGTGGAACAAGTTTTCGGGGACGGTGCCGGCTAGTTTCAAGAACTTGACGAAGATCTTCAACCTGGATCTCTCCAACAACCTCCTCGTTGATCCGTTTCCCGAGATGAACGTGAAAGGCATCGAATCGTTGGATTTGTCGAACAACATGTTCCATTTGGGGGAAATTCCGAAGTGGGTGGCTTCGTCTCCGATAATATTCTCTCTGAAGCTTGCGAATTGTGGGATCAAGATGAGGCTCGATGATTTCAAGCCTTCGGAGACGTATTTCTACGACTTCATTGATCTTTCGGGGAACGAGATTTCGGGAAGCGCGTTAGCATTGCTTAATAGTACGGAGTATTTGGTGGGGTTTTGGGGTTCGGGGAACAAGTTGAAGTTCGATTTGGGGGGTTTAAGGTTGGGGCAGAGGTTCAAGTATTTGGATTTGTCGCGTAATGAGGTGTTTGGAAAGGTTCCGAATAGTGTTGTCGGGCTTGAGAAGTTGAACGTAAGTTATAACCATCTTTGTGGTCAGCTTCCAAAGACTAAGTTCCCCGCCAGTGCCTTTGTTGGAAATGATTGTCTCTGTGGTTCTCCTTTGCAACCTTGCAAAAAAAGCCTAGTTATATAAGCTTCAAGCTTTCTTCTTTGTTTTTGCCGTTTGCTTGCAGCGTCTCCTCCAAGTTTGGGCGAAGAATAATAACAATAATGGAGTAAATCCTTGAGTTTATTATTGAGATCGTATGGATAACGCACTTTGGTTTATGGATTTTATAAATTTTTTATTAATTTTTATTTTTCAATACTGTTTTGTATTAAAAATAAAAATAAATACCTTTTTTTAAAGTTCAAAACTAGTAAAAGATTTTTCAAAATTTAAGAATTATAATATACTCCATTAATTTGAACGTTTATTCCATTCAATGATATAATTTAAAGACATAGTTGATATTTTAATTCTTTATTTTAAAGTGAGTTAATTCAAATACAGATGGGATTAGATTATGCTTACTTGCAGTGAATGACAGAAAAAAAAAAGATGATTAACTCTATTTGTTAAAGTGAGTTAATTGTTAATTTGTGACGCGCGAAATAGCTTTTAGGGAGTAGCTAGCAAAGACGACTTTCTTACGACTTCTTCCGACGCTATTGTTCTGAAAGAAATAATTTCTTTCATGCTGATTTTCTAATACGTTGTTAATACGCTGATTTCCTTTTTGCATTTGGCTATAATTTTTAATTCACAATGTAATTTCTAAAATAGCCTTTTGTAACTTCTTTATAATTTCTAACTTGGCGTTTGAAAAGCATAACTTTAAATTATTTTTAGTTTAATGACTTATTGATTCTAAAGGAGCATGCTATTGAAAAAAATAGTATATATTAAAAGAATTTTTGCAATAATGTTCAACTTATTTAAACTATTGAGGATCTTCTTAACTTTATTAGATTATTTTTAGTTTGATTACCAGTTGATTTTAGAGGAGTATTTCATTGGGAAAAAAGTGTATGCAAAAAGAATTTTTATAATAATGTTTAATTTATTTAAATTGTTTAAGCATCTTCTTAACTTTATTCATTATAGGAAAGTGTGTCCAAAGCATTTTCTTTATTATGGAGCATAATTAAACTTAATTAGTTCTTATAATATATGGCTAAGATAAATCAATCTTTAGATATATAATTAAAAATGTTAAATAATAATGTATGTCTAAAGCATCAAACCTCTTATACTATTGTTTTGGAGATTGTTTGAAGTCATACAATAACTTCTTTAACAAGCATACATAATCATTCTTTTCAAGAATAATGAACCCCTCCGGTTGATTGACTCACGTATATTTACTCTTCTAACTCTTCATGCAATAATATTGTTTTTACATTAAGTTGCTTTACCTCTAAGTCAAATATGCTTACAATAGCTAAAAGGATCTTTATAGAGCTATGCTTCACCACAAAAGAGAATATTTCATAGAAATTAATACCTTCCTTCTACATATAGCCCTTTGCTATCAATCATATCTTAAACCTTAGAAGTTCAACATCAAGAATTTCTTCTTTCCTTTTAAAGATCCATTTAGAAGTTTTACCATCTCCCATGCCTTATTTTTTTGAAAAAATTCAATCTTTATTCATTACTATTAGTCATTTTGTTGACTCATTATCGTCTATTGCATCATGATAGGTAGATGGTTCAACTCCTATCGCACCATCTGCCATAGCAAAAACAAATGTCATAGGATCTGCATCTAATGAGTCCAATGCATTAGTACCAGAATTCAAATATCTTTGAGATCTTCGAATTTGTCGTTGTAACGTCCTTAATTTTTTTTTCTTAAAATATAATACTTTCTACTAAGATAAGAAGAATTAGGGTGAGTTTCTTGTAATTATGGTGTGAAATTTTACAAATTTTCTTTTTCTCAATTAATTTAAGAATGTATGAAAGCATTTGAGACAAAAAAAAAGTTAATTATAATTGCATTACACTTTACTAAGTAAGACTACACATTAGCAGTGGAAATACATATACATACATTAGATTTCTTTCATATGCAAAGGTTTAAGATGTACAAGTCATTATCCAAAATATATTAGGACTCAAATTACATAATTACATTATCAAAATACACTAAATCCTAATAAGGAGTGCACTTCCATACCAAGAGTCCTGAAGGCAGGGTCCTAGTTATCACTGTCGAACCAATCCTCTATTTCTTCTAATTCTCCCAATGTCAAATCCTCGTCGTAGTGATCTCCCTCATCTGCAACAATCTTTACACCAGTAATCTGTTCTCAGGTAAAGGTGATTAGTCTTCTCATATGATCATGACCGTGAAAGGTATACACATAGTTCATGACATCGAGCGTTTGAATTGTCTTTCTATAAACACACAGACATAAAGTGTGATGTATTCTACCATCAAGAAGAAAATTAAAAGGAATATTATATCCTACGGTAGATTCTACTGTACAAACATCAACAGATTCATTTTCATTAGGTACAATAAACTTACACTGGCAGAGGATCTACCATTCTCTAAATATATAATTTGATCTACTTTCTATACTAAACTTTGATTGCCTAATGAGTCTCAGTGGAGTTGTCATCCTTGTTCTCTAAAATTTTATTTGTAAGGATGAGTTCTCTCTTCACCATTAAAACATAACAAACATGCAAGTATGAAATATCATAACATCAAATATAGTATAACACATATATGGAGAATATCATAACTCATGCATTGTAACTATAACAAAATTTCTCTCTTTATCATATATGCACTCTCTTGTGCACTGTGATTACAGTTAACTACTGCCTCTAACATTTCATGAGGTCTTATACACATGTAGGTAATATAGGCACTGCTTAGCCCATACACACGGATATAACACACAATAATGACTCCTTAGCAAAAGCATAATCATGAGTTTAGTTGAGAAATAAGTGTATCTATATAACCATTTACACTAGTCTCTTTCATCACCACCACTTATAATATATTTTTCTCTTTCCATTCTCATCACTCAGCTAAATATATCATGCCTAACGTCAAGCACATTCAAACTTAATCCAAAATAGATATTCCAAAGAAAGATACATTTCAATCATGCAACATTAGCAGCCAACCATATATCACCAACTATAATGACAACAAAACTTTTATTTAAATATATATTCATGAGACAAATACACACAACATTATGCTTTCATAATTATAGTTATATTCAACATTTTGATTAGTGGGATAGAGCTCTCCTTACTTCAAAGACAAGATTTTTTAGAAAATTTAAGGAAGATGGTATCCAAAGGATCTAGCTCTTCCAACATGTATTACAAAATAGAGCACCTTTGAGAAGGAAGAAAAATAGAGAAATGGAGACAAGTTTGGAGAACTGAGCTTGAAGGAACTTACTTGTGATTGAGTAGAAAGGAAGTCTGAGCTTACGTTCGAAAGCAGTTTAGAGTTTAAGAGAGGTTTCTCTAAGGAAAGAAATGAGAAACAGAGAGAAAAGTGAGTGGGGTCGCTTTGCTCACAATATAAGTTTTAAAATAGGGAATTCCTTAAATACCCTTTTTGGCTCGTAAATTTTAGCTTGGGTGAGACCCTTCTCCCCTGGGTGAGAACACCAGATAGAAGGATTATACTAATTTTTTGATAATCTTGCTTGAGTGAGATCCCATCCCGCTTGGGCGATATTGAGTCTAAAGAGCTCTCACTTTTCTCTATGCCTTCTTGCCTGAGCGAGGAACTTCTTGACTGAGCGAGAGGACAATTGAGACAGTGTTATCCCTTCTCGCCTATGTGAGACTCATCTTACTTGAGCAAGAATGCTCTGGCACACCTGATCCAAAAAACTCTGTCTTGCTTGAGCGAGACCCTCTGCTATTTCCACAATTTTAAAATTATTTCTCAATTAAAAAGAAATACAACAATAAATAAAATAATTATACAATATTAAAAAGAGGATGCTATAGTCATCTTGTCCTGCCAATAACAATATTGTATGGTTCTTTTTTGTTTTTTTTTTCCACTAGATCCCTATTATCAGTTTCATCATGTTGTTCTACTTCAAGTTGAGTAACACCTGAAGTACATGACTAATTTGTATCTTTTTCTTGTTCTATCTTCCTAATGTCAATATCTAGTTCCACCTATTTCTTAGCACTACAATCCTGATCTTCTTAAGATTCTCTTTTCTGATTTACCATTGACAATGATCTTAGGTGAACATGACTTCTCCATATACCATAGTTTATAACCCTTCACCCCTTGTGTATATCGTAGAAATATACACCTTCTTGCCCTAGGCTCAAGTCTACCATCACTCATATAAACATATGCAGGCCTACAAAATACCTTCAAATCAGAATAGTTTACAGGTTGACCGGACCATACCTCTTGAGGAATCTTCAGGTCAATCACAATTGATGGAGATCTAGTTACCAGATACACAACAGTATTGACCGTCTCAACCTAAAAATGATTTGGGAAGTACAAAATTGATCTCCATGCAACGTGCACATTTTAGAACCGTTCTATTCATGTGTTTTGGAATGTCGTTCTGTTGTGGTGTTCCAAAGAACAATACGATGCCTCACTATACCTGCATTTTTGCAAAACTTCTAAAACTCTTTGTTACAAAATTCTCTACCATTGTCGGTTCTCAGTCTCTTGACTAATCACCAGGTTTGCTTCTTGAACATGACTTTCTATTGCTTAAATTTAATGAACACTTCCTTTTTATGTTTCAGGAAATAAACCTAAACCTTCCTAGAAGAATCATCTATTAGAGTAAGAAAGTAACTAGCTCCACCCGATGAGTTAACGGGAGCTAGACCCCAAACATCTAAGTGGACATACTCAAGTATCTCCTTACTACTATATTTTGCATGATCGAACTTCACTCATTTATGCTTTTCAAACATAGTTTTTCACTGAAATCAAGTTTATAACTCTTCAAACCTTTTAACAATTCTCTATCAGTAAATATCTTCATTCTCTTTTCACTCATATGATCAAGCCTCATGTGCCACAACTATGTGACATCATTTGATCTTTCAAGGGATAAAACAACAACAATTCCTAAAGTTATGCTTCCAAGTAATATATAGATCCCACCTTTTAACTTTCCTTTCATCAAGACCATTGCACCTTTAGTCACCTTCAAGAAACCACCTTTTCCAACAAATTTGTATTTGCGGTTGTTTAGGACACTCAACAAGATTAAGTTCCTCTCAAGATTTGGTACATGTCATGCCTGAAATTTCCTTGCAATATAATCATCCAATCTGATTTGCACCACTCATTCACCTATAACTTTAATAATTCTATTGTCTCTTAATCTGACCTTTCGTTCTCACTTTTTATACAAGGAGAAAAAATGTTTATTAAGTGTCATATGAAAAAATGCATAAGAATCTAGGATCCATTTGTTTCTTGAGTCACTAGTGGTAACTGTCAAAGTAGAGTTAACATCAATATCTTCATAACTTTCAACTGTTATATTGACATAATTTCTTGATTTTCTTCTATTAGAACAATTCCTTCAAATATGCTTTGTTTGGTGAAGATGAAAACACTTCATTTGGAGATTAGTGAGACATGCAGTTACTAGATTTGTAACTTCCTTTTTATCATTAGAAATGCTTCATTAAGAAAAAATAAATCTTAGAAAGATGTTTACTTCTAAGAAGTGGCGTAAAAACAAGCTGTCAAAGGAACCTAAAAAGAAGCAAGCAACAAAAATTGTATTAAATCTTGCATTTGGAATAATGTGGTATATACTTTGAAAATCCTAACTTTTCTTGTATGAGTGTTACATTTGGTTGATGGAGAAAGAAGACAAACCATGGGATATATTTATGAAACAATGGTAAGAATATAGAGCCAAAGAATGATAAGAATATGATCCTAAGGACAATGATTGATTGAGATATAAAGCCAAAGAATGATAAGAATATGATCATAGTAGATGAAAATATTTTATGTACATGAAAGATATGGTTGATATGCTTATTTTTTAGTTAGTTTGTATGTAATCTTAAATATGTGTGTGTTAAAATTATTAAGTTAATTTTTATTGTGATTTAGTGGTGAGGAGAAAAGCTCATCCTTACTAAATGTTTCAAGGAAGCAGGATGACCACTTGACTGATAACTTTTAGAGTAGAGGGAATGATGTATGGTAGGTTACACTTTTTGTTTAGGAAGTGGTAGCGACTTTGTGACTGTAATTTTATTATAGATGTTAATAATGAACCTGGTAATGTATAGACTTTATAGATGAACATAGAATATAGTATCCCTTTTGAGTACCCTATTCGTGGTAAAATTTGCCATTTACTCAGCCTGTACATATATCAAGGAATGGCCGAGACGCCATATGCGGTAAACTACTTGTACACTTTCCTTGATCATGACCATATGGGAAGACCTACTTGGTTCACATTCAAGCGAGTAACTAGTACTGAAGTAGTGGCTGACAACGGTGACCTCAACGAGAATAAGGACCTGACATTGGAAGAATTGACAGATATAAAGGAATGATTTGGGGACGACGACTAGGATTGTTCTCAGTCTTTTGGTGTAGAACCTTATGCTCATTAGGAATTACATAATTTTGAATCTTTTGTAAATTTAGTATATGGTCCTAATGTATTTTGGTATACGCTTTGTAAATTGTTAAACTCTTGTACATTAATGAAAGTTATTATATATGTATTTTATTTTGGACTTATGTAAATGCATTCATTTTTTTACACTAATAATTATACATTCTGTAGACTCACTTACCACATCCAACTGCAGGACTCAGGTCGAGATGAGAAACCAAAATAATAAAAAGAAAGTTAACCAACTAATTTTAATAGAAGGATTCAAATAAACTACAAACTACTCATTTATAGATAAATTTTAATATTTTCTTCTTTTAGAAATCAAATTGAAGAATTCTTTATTTTTTAAGGACAAATTTGAAGTTTTAGTCAACCACAAACTTTAAAAGCAAAGGGGCATTTCATCTTTTGTGTTATTTTTCTTTTAAAATTTTGATTTCTAAAGTAAATTTCAAAAAATATTTTACTCTCTTTACTGTGTTTTTCTTCTTCAGTCTAGTAGTTATATTGTTATAATTGTGCTAACTTTTCAGTACATTTTTTCTTATTTCAATGACCACTAGCATCACTACGCTAGAAATGAATTTTTGGAGCGCTAACTTAGACAGCGGTCAATAGAAATCACTTTATAACTATATATTTAGAGAATAGTTCTCTATTAACGGCTCTCAGATATATACTTTTGAGAGCAGTTAATAGAGAACCGTCTCAAATCTATACTTCTGAGAGCGGTCCTCTATTAACTGCTCTTTAAAGTCACACATTAGAGAGCCGTTAATAAAGAACAGCTCTCTAAAGACATTTTTGGAGAGAGGTTAATAAAGAATCGCTCTCTAAAGTCATTAAAGTCATTTATAAATGAAACACGCTCGGAGCATTTTTTTCTTCTTAACTAACAAAGTTGGTCTCTTTTACTGTAAGTTCTGCTCGTTTTCTCTACTCTCTTATGTTCTCTTCATATTTTCTGTTAGTCTGCTCTCTTTATCTTCTCTCGCTAACAAATTGATTTTTTTTCCACATCTGTAAGTACCTCTTCATTCTTTATTATTCTGTTCTTTTCATCTTCTATGCGCTAACAAATTGGTTTTTTTTTTTCACATTTGTAGGTACTTCTTCATTTTCCCTTTCTTTCTTCTTTTGTTTGTTAATAGTGAATTATTTATTTTCTCTTTCTTTCTTTTTCTCTATATTAACATTAAAAATCATCCTACTAATTTGTTCTCATTTTTTTCTGCTTACTTATGTTTGGTTTATGCAGATGTGGACTATTTGATTAACAACAAATGTATAAACTCAAGATTCAATTTTGATTTGTGATAAAAATGAAGAAAACTCACAAATAAATTGATTCTAAATTTTGATTTAAATGTAATAATAAATTAATTTTACTTTGAAACAGAAAAAAAAAGAAATTAATTTTAAATTTCAGATTCGCTGTCTATATTTATACTTTGGAGAGCAGTTCTATGTGAAATAGCTCTCTAATTTTATATTTATACTTTAGTGCGGAACCGCTCTCCAATCTTAACATTTGAGAGCGGTTGTTTAACTACTCTCTTAAATATAACATTTCAGATAGTGTAAGATTTTATAGTAGTTTTAAACACTTTCTAATTTAAAATGTAATTGCTCTCAGATCATTTCTGTTTCAGCGTAGTGCATCTTATTTACTAACAGCAATGCTAATTGCTAGTGAAAAATTTGTTCAAGGGCTATCGCGAATGTGTAATAAGCAATCGATGTTAGAAAGAGAAAAGACAAGATTTCCAGGGTTTTGTTTTGATGACAGAACATATTCATGACAAAACACAATTGCTGGCTTAGTAGCAAATTAATTGATAAATAAAACCACATAGAAGGTAAGATGATAAATATAGAGGGTCCACCACTATGGTAAATTCTTCGAAAAGGCCACAACCAAAACATAACAAGAAATGAAACATACGCATTACAAGAGTTTGATGAATGAGTAGTCACGTTGCTATTCATATTCCTAGAGTTTTATGTAGCCATTTTGGATCATCCACTTGAGACTCCAATAGGTTCCATCACATTTGTAGGCCCAATAGGCCCATCCAAAAGTTGCACGGGAATACACATCCAATTGTGCTTGAGTGTATCTTTGGTAGTCTTCTTTAGCTGCGTTTTTTACTCTCCACACAGCAGTCCATTCCCCTGCCAATAAATGTCATTATGTGATTCTCAATGTGTATAATATAATCTCCAAAAATGTGGTCAATATATTGATACAATAAAGTCCTTTCGTGTTAACTTAATTGATTATGAGTATGTAGACATCATAATAAGATTTTTTGAATACTTACAGTGAAATGAAATTAGTGATTTTTCGAAAAAAAATATATAGGCCAATATATATTGGTGAGGATTTGGTATGTACCCACAAAACTAAGAGCATCCGTTGAAGAGACGTCGCTAAGATTTTTGGATCGTTGATTTCTTATGTAGTCAATGTTTTGTTGAACATTCATGTTGTCGAATTTTTTCGAAAAGAGGTTGTAGTAATGCACATCAATGACAACTCTTCTGAACCCTTTCACAAATGAGAGAAGCACTTTAGAATCCGCACCCAATGGGTTTGACATGATCACATAAGCACTTTGGCTGTGCTTCCTCACAGCATCATAAGCTTTTCTGTAATAGTTCTTAAGGCTGTCTATATTGACACCTTGTGGCTCATTCATCAACTCCATTCCTCCCAGGTTTGATTTGTTACCATATCTGTCAACAAATTCAAGTATATAGATAGCATGTCACATGTTTGAAATAGAATAGAAATGAGTACATGGTCAAATTTGTCAATTAAAATTATAATTCAAATATTTGAAAAACTAAAAATTAACATCATATTTAATATTGTAACATAATCATTTTTATTTTATTTTTATCTTTTCTGTATACACACATCCAGAAAATACACTAAAAAATAACAGGAACAACTAAATCATTACTTGAATAATTTGTCCCCCAAAGTTATACATAAAAGGATTTGTGTTAAAATATAATGTTGGTTATTGTAGATCTTATATTGACCTTGACTGAAAAAAAAGAAGTCAATCCCACAAATATTTTCAATGCAATTAAAGTTTAAAAATTTTCTTTACAAACACTAAAACAATTATCAATTAGCATCTGTAGTGATGTCCAAGCCCAAATTCAAGAATTTCTAGTCACGAATTTCAAAAACTAATTTAATTGATGAAGTTCACATTCAAGAACTCCGTTGACAATTAAATGTATATTTAAGAACAATTGATATAATTTCTATCGTTAAAGGACTACCAAGACCAACAAAAAGTTTCATTTACCCATTTGATTATTTACTCAAAAAAAAAAAAAAAAAAAAAACTTAAAAGGACCATTCTTTAGAAATACACAACCTTTCTGCTAAGAACTCTATGACTTCGACGGTGTTAGGTATATATGAATCTCCCCATTCTAAATATCCATCTCTTGTGCCACTGTGCGCATTGCCATTCTGAGAACCTTCAACTTTATGCAAGTCCACGATCACTTTCATGCCATGGTTTCTACAAGTTATAAAAAGTACATAATTGGTTAATGAAGAAACTTAGATGGATTGGAGTTGAATAAAATGTTGCACAATGGTTACATGTTACAACAATATTTTAATTCAAAGACTTACTGTGCCCATTGGAAAGCTTTGTCCAATGCTGCCAAAGATCCTCCAACAAAAGGCTTAGGTGGGTTTGGATCTTTAGCTATCCACCATCCCACTGGTATTCTCACTGCATTTAAACCACTTGCTGACATGAATTTGAAATCATCTTCTGTTATGTATGTGTTCCAGTGATCGTGCAAGGCAAACATAGCTCAGTATGAAGATGATCGTAGAATATAAATTGAGGCAACTTCATGGTTTGTCACCAAAAAGTGTGCTTGATTTCTCACCCGCATGACTTGAGGAGCTCTAGTTGGGCCATAACCATTTGTAAGTTGGTACTCTCCTCGTAAAGAGTTATTTAAAATATTCATACGGAATACTGAAGGATCACTGTCTTCCCAACTCATGCCTAAATAGTCTGCAGTCACTGATGTCTCTGATTGAACCTTAACATACACAAACAAATATCATGGAAAATTGTGTCTCTCTAGGCACTAGCAAGGAATTATTAATAAAAAGTTTTTATTGGAGATTATGGTCTCAGTGTATTGATAACACATTTTATTATTAACTTTCCACATTTTGATTCATTAGGACGATAGTTATTATTTGTCTGAATAACTTTGGTGGCCTAAAGCAAATCTATCTCATTCACGAATGAAAAATTGCTGATGTGACAAGTATTGTTAGCATGGGAGTATTTATTAATATACACGAGTATTTAGGGTTTCAATTAAACAAGGGTTACATTTTAAGTCTTCAGAGATGTGTTTATGATTCAAAGTACAATTTTAATGTAAGGTTTTCCAATATGAATATCACGAAGATAGAGCAGGTACCTGTAAAAACAAACCATTTGATGCTTTGATTCGAATTTTGAGAGAGTCATTTTTATTCCTTATAATCTCAAACGTTTCCTGTTTGCTTGGTGAGTTTGAAACTGCTACAATTTTGTTTCCATTGCCTTGATTTTCAAGCCCCACAAATTTCTTCTTGGCCACTCTCAAATTGAAGGATGATTCACTAACCCTCCACAACTGCATATGAATCAAATAATTAAGCCAAGTGAATGTGATTCATAAAGCATATAAAAATGATCATCATTGAAGTTCTTTCATATGCAGTTAAAGCTACATACATACCCTGAATGTTTCCCAACCAGAAGCTGAATCACGGTTAGCTAAAACAGCAGCTCCACCCCCCTTTTCAGAGCTGAGATACCTCTGGAACTTTGTGGACATGAATTGCACTTTAGTTCCATCCTGAAAAGACCAAATATCAAAAACATGTCTATTAGCTAAAAAATATACATATATACTATGCCATCATTTCTCTCTTTGGTGCAACTTTTGAACTTCTTAATCTGCAGACCTTTTACAATTATATTTGTAAATGCAAAGTGCTAACCATTATTTTACTCAAATTAAAAAAGAAATGATGATGATATTCGGAATGATAATTAGTTAAAATTCCATCTAACTAATTGAAATGAACTCTTTGGGAGTAACAGTACCAAGAGATCTTTGTTGACAATTCCTCCAAAGAGAGAAGGTTTCATCCACCCTTCAGCAACAAGCCAGTTACCCAAATTCACAGCTTTATATGGCAAATTTTGCCCATTGTGAGGACTTAAAAGGCATAAAGACAGCAGGAAACTCAAGTAGTATGAATATCCCATTTTAAAATGAAGGTGAATTGCTTTCCTATCCTGTATATAATATATATAGAATAGGGCTCATGTAAGATAATTTTATTTATGTTAGAAACATATATAATATGATGTTAGCTTTTTCAAATAATTGCTTTTTTTATATAAGCTTCAATCCTCAAACTTTACTTGGAAATAATATGATATATATCATCTGAACTAATCATTTTTTTTTCTAACGAACTAATCATTTATTGATCGACTATAAAGTTAGATATATGTAATTTAAACACTAAAGTATAAAAGTATAATGATGAATTATGAAATTAATTATTAACATGTATTTTAGAAGAATAAGTGGAAATCAAGTAAGTTCAAGAAAATTTTTGATAAGTTTTACGTGCCTTAATAACTATTATAAATATTGAATTTTATTAATTCAATAATTAAATTAAAAGTTATTTTTAAATTAATTAAGTATGCCAAAAATTATACACATTTATAATTGATTAATAATTTATGCAATAACTCTATTTTAATGTCTAATACATTTTTAAAATAAAAAATATTAATTATAAAATTATATGTCTATAAACACTCAATTTATTTAAATTTAATATTATTGATCAACATAAAGAATCATTCTTATAAAATTATTAATAGTTTTTATTATCATATAAAGTTTAAATAACATGTAACATTATATTAAATAATATTACTTTTATTAGTGAAATCGGTATCAACTTTTATTTGACAATGAAATTATTAAGAGTTAAATGTGTTTTTAATTTATGCATTTTGATTTTAGTTTCTACAATTTTTTATTTATTTTAAATTTTACAATTTATTAATTGTTGATTTTAATATCTCTTACTAATGTGATTATATTAAAAAAAAAGTGAGACGTAATATAAAAATTGATATATAATAATATTTAAATTAATTATATTATTATTAAATAGTGATCAGTATCAAAATTAATAGTTTTTTAAATATAAAAAGTAATATTAAAAATTAATTTTGCAGTAAATAAATTAAAAAATATAATATATTTTAAGAGAGTAAATACGTGTTTAAATCAAATATTAAAATAAAAGTTTCAACGTCAAATTTTCAATAAGTAATTATAGATAAAGGACAATGAATTAAGAGATATAGAAGTAATGATTGATTTGATCATAAATCTCAGGAAAATTAAATATGGGGACACCATATCATGCACAGTTTCAGGCATGGAATCCCCATTCCCCAACCAAAACCGGGCTTTTAACATAAAAAAAATAAAAAAAATAGGATATTACATATATAAGTCAAAATCTATTTATAAAAATTTGTCCTAATTTTATATATAATATAAGTTAATTTAAATTTACTTTAATTTAATTTATTTTAACTTTTACACAAAAATCAAATATAATTAATTTTTTAATTTCTTATTTTGTTATAATAATTTTGTAGAAGTTGATTATAACAAATTTTTACTGTTATATCAAAGTTGATTAAAATAAATTTTTGTGACATACAGAAGTCAATTTTAATATATTTCATTAAAATATAAGTTGATTTTAATATCTTGTATTATTATTATTTAAATATTTAAAAATTATTTTTATCATAAAATAATATATTTGTTTTTCTTTTTTTGTTTTAAATATAATTGAATATTTTAAAAAAATATTTTTGTTTGAGTTTAAATTTTGTCAGTAATATTTTTTTATAAATTAAGAGCACACTAAAATGATAACTAATATAAAATGAAAAAAAGTAACTAATCGCATTACTTTATAGAAATAATCTAACCTGTCTCAAACTAAATTAGGCATATGAAATATTACTACTACAAGAATAATATGAAACACTGTATATTTCTATGCTGCATAAATTAACTGTGTGATATGTAACTTATAGCATTTAAAATTGGCCCAACAGATTAGTTTGACTTTTTTTAATCTGTGTTTAAATTAGAACTTCATAGGTTTATAATTTTTTTAATAAATTTCTAAACACATTTATTTTTTTGGTTATTTTTAGCATATATAATTTTAATTTTAATTTTATTTTATTTATTTATATAAGATTTTCAATCAATTTAATTTATTTAAATATAAAATATGAATGAAGAATCGTACTAAAATTTTTCACTTCAGTCTCTCCTTCTATTATGTTACAGTTTCACCATAATAATACACAAGAACATAAACATAATTTTACGTCATTTCACTATGATTTTTGTAATATGATAATATAGAAATGGAAATTATATTTTTATAATATAAGATATTTTTAAGATGCGCTAACCGATACTAAAATATACTACAATGAATTTATTAAATTGAAATCTATTAAAAATTACTTGTGTTTTAAATTAAAATTTATTAAAATCGATTTCTGTATTACAATAAATTTTTTATAAAAATCTATTTCAACTTATGTATAGCAGTAGAAATCTACTATAATCTACTTCTATATAATTATTATGTTAGAACATAAAATTAAGAAAATCAGTTATAATTGATTTTAGTGTAAAACTAAAATAATTAAATTAAATTAAAGTTGATTTAAATTGAATTCTATTATATACAAAATTATAATATTTTGTAAATAAAATTCATGAAAACTATTCTTTTATTCTTTTATGAATAATATTCTCTTATAAAAACACTTGGAGGCTTTTTATATTTTTACGCCACTCTATTATTTTCATCATTTTTTATTTTATAAATATAAATTAAAAAATGATAAGATGATTAATAAAATGTTTATAAGTTGTGAATAAATGTATATTCCTTTTCACTATTTGTACAAAAATTTACTGAATACATGATGAGGCCAATAGGTAATAATAACATGAAAAAAATATTGACTTAATTTTAATATATTAGTCAAAATATTAAAAAAACACTATAATATTTATATTTATAGTTCTTTTTTATTCTGAGAGGGAAATAATTGTTCACTCTACATATTCAATTAGAAAATAATGCCCATGTTTCCAAAAATATATATATGAACAATGTATAAAAACAACTAGTTTTTGTGTGTTACAATGGATCAGTGATTTATACAAAAGTCCATTTTTATCAATAGTTTTGTTCTTACTTTTAATGTTATATATTTAGGCCTTTAAAAAAATGTTATATCTAAAAAAAATAAAAATAAAATTCTCAGCCGTGACGGAAGGTGGTAACTGAAAGTGGATTAGACATGGCGCGCGTTCAAGAAGAAGACTTCCATGTTGAACGGAAAAAACAAAAAAGGACTTGTATTAGCATTTATTTATTTCTATTTTGTCTGATTTTATTTTACATGTAATTTTAGTCTCTTTAATTTTACTTACCAATTTTTAATTTTATAATTTTTAAATTAAGTCTTTTATTCTAATTTATTTAATTACTGGATATAATATATTATTAATTTATAAAAAATTTAAATATATATAAGCACTAAAAAAATGTCATTTTCAAATATTAAATAATCTTCGTTAGCATTCTCTTTATTCAGCCTATGTTGATTATCCTGCTAATCGTTTAACTTAGAGAAATAGGAAAAAGAGAAAAAAGTAACTAAACAATTAGATGGATACAATACATCATAAGATTTTAACTATTTTCTATTTTAATGCATAGAACTAGAATTTCAAATTGCAAAGTATTGAACGAACTTCCGTCAACGATACGAAAATTAACTGTACAATTGATGTATGCGCAAAGTGCCAAATTTCAGAATTATGAGGAAGAAAAAATAATTAAACAATGAAAGGAAATCGTTTCAAATAAAAACTTTGGAGAATAGAATTAAAAGAATTTTATTAATAATTTACGAGATTTGACTTTCAATTGTAGTTATTGACCGTCGTAATAAAGCATTGAACACTTTAGATCGTATCTCCCTGTTTATGATATCAAAATGACGGCCACCACTGAAGAAAGAAGACCGGCATAGATGAGTCCCATTCTAAATTAATTATTATAATAAATTAATTTAATAAAAAAAATTAGTATATTTAGCAGTAAAACATAATGGAGCAAGTTAACAAAACATCATGTAACATATAGATTTAAAAATTAAATAAAAACAAAACTTACATTCTTCTTACGAAAATTTTATAAGATTCAAAAGTATTTAAAATTTTCAAAGGAATAATTTCGAGACTTTAAAATGATAAATAAAATTTCAATTTACATTTCTAAGACATAATTAATAACACTTCCAAATTATTAATTACAACAAAATTTATCAAAGTAATTTAAAATTCTAAAATTGACATTTAAAGTAGTTACAGAACTTTATCAAATTAAAATGTAAATACAATAAAATATTACAATTCTTTAAATTATTATAAGTCCTACAAAGCAATCTTTTTTCACAAGGTCACTGGATTATGAACATAAAATGGACCAACTATTTTTATTTCTTCACTTTCATTACCTGAAAAATATTAGTAAGAGTGAGTATCTCCCGCATCACTAAATCTCTTATTTGATAGAAAAAAAGTGTATATATATATATATATATAATACTAAAGATATTATCTAATATATATGTATTGGATTAATAATAACACTCATAGTGTAAAAGGTACTATGCTCCATAGTATGAAAAAAGAAAGAACAACCAACTTTGCAGAAAGAGAGAATTTCTGTTTATTGATCTGAGAAGAAATATTGCTCGAGAAACTGAAATTTCAAAATTAATCAATTACCAAAGAATAGAAAAATTTATTTATACAAATATATTAACTAGAGTTAGCTAACGAGAGTTTGCTGTTGGGTTGGCTATCTAGCGTGTATGTTAACATCCCCCCGCAAGCTGACATGTGTATATCAAGCATGCCAAGCTTGAAATGATGGTTTTGAAACACTTTGGGAGATAAACCCTTGGTCAGAATGTCAGCTATTTGGGAGGTAGAAGGAATAGGTAGCAGATGTATGAGGCCAGATTGAACTCTTTCTTGAACAACATGACAATGAATTTCAATATGCTTAGTTCGCTCATGGAAGACAGGGTTATTGGCAATGTGCATGGCTGAT